GTGTGTGTGTGTGTGTGTGTGTGCTTCCCACGCATAATTAAACTAATAGCGAGGTCCACGCTGCCTCCCCCGCACTCGCCCCGCCGGTAGGCTGCGTGGACCTCGCTTTACAACTTAAAGTATATGCAAGTTGTAAACCGAATAATGTTAGGTATAATAGAATTTAGGTATGCAACATATTGTCAGGATAAGCTATTAGATTTATTAATCCAGCATAGTGTTCTAACATTTACAATTAAATATAGTGAATGTGATAATGACATTGATACTGATAAACAAACATTAATGTACCGATGTAGAAAACGGTACTACGTAAAAAATGAGCACAAGAAACGTATCTCTAAGCAGTGCTGGTACTTGGTTCGTCATCAGATGCTTCTGGCTGGTTCTCAAAAGTGGATGTCGGAGGATATAATTCTGCGATGACATCAAAGAAGATTTCTATGCGCTCCAAGCGGCTATAGGCGCGTTTGAAGAAATATTCGCTCAAATATCCAAGGACATGATTCTCCTTGGTTCCATACCTTGGGATATTTCCGCGAACTTCTCTCCAAACACGCTCTATATGCTGCGTATGCGCGCCTGTAGATTTAAAAAATGTATCAGAACAATATACAAATAAACAGTAATAATATAGTTAACTATGGCAAAAAGTTCTCACCAGTTTCAGGATCGACGAAATTATATGAGTGATTTACTGTCAGATGTTGGAAGCCTTTATTGTTTAAACAATTATAGGACTTCCAACAATCTGACATGATGGTGGTGCCCGGCAATATCCACTCTTTGATACACGCCAGAAGTGTCTCTTCAGTTCGATCCTGTACTGGCACGATAAAAATCTTCTTTGTGCCTCGCTCATATCCTCCAAAAATCCATTGACCTTTTACGAGCCGACCACGATTGTATTTTCTTTTTCCAATTTTTGTTTCATCGATTTCTACTATGCATCCTGGGCCACCAAGTTTCTCACTATGTTTTTCAGCCCAGAACACACAGACCTGTAAGAAGAAATAATATTATTAATATTTTGTTTTATACGTTTTACATGTGTGTATGTGTGTGTGTGCGCGTGCGTGCGGCGTGCGTGCGTACGTGCATGCGTGTATTTATAAAAATATGTTAAAATATAATTACCTCTCGGCAAAAATTGAACCAGTCAACAATCGTGGCCGACGAAACGCCAGTTTCATCTTGCGTGTCATCTTGACGTGGGTGTTTTATCATTAGAAAGCAGGCAACAATTTTACATATTGTTGCCACGTCAAGATGACTTTTTCCGAACCAAGTACCAGCTTTGCCACTTTTCTTAAAATTGCACTGCTTCGAGACACGTTTCTTGTGCTCATTTTTTACGTAGTACCGTTTTCTACATCGGTACATTAAAGTTTCTTTATCAATATCAATGTCACTACCACATTCACTACATTTAATTGTAGATGTTAGAACACCATGCTGGATTAAAAAAATCATGCGTGTGGTCGCCACGCGCGTTAGAAGTGAAACTTCTGAAGGCAAGGCTTTGCCATAACTTTTCTGAAGTCGCATAATCGAACTTACTACCGTGCCAGAAGAAGAACCGTCTCGCCAACGCCGTACGCCTATTGGTCAAATTTTCGTTACACTTTTCGTGTCGCACAATCGAACTTACTACCGTACCAAAGAAGTTTAATTTCGTACGCCTATTGGTCGAATTTTCGTTACACTTTTCGTGTCGCACAATCGAACTTACTACCGTACCAAAGAAGTTTCACTTCCGTTACACTTTTTTGTGTCGCGAATCGAACTCACTACCGTGCCTAAAGAAGTTTCACTTCAAAAATCTATTAGCTTATCATGACAATGTGTCAGATGCCCGAACTCTATTAAGCTTAACATAATTGCGTGGCAACGTGTGTGCAATTTCGCATCTAACAGTAATGCTATTGTTGCGCTTCATTTGTTTTATATAGTTTCTTTTAAATACATATTTAAAACTAGCGCAGTTTTGCATGCGCGTGCGGCCACTGAGCATGCGCATGTGGCCACAGGGCATGTTCGTAGTCGCCAGTAGTCGCTACAGCTCGTCGGTATGACAGGAATCATAACCTGATTCCTGTCAACTTTAACGTTTAATATCTCGCGTCGCGGGGCAAAGCGACACTTTTTTCTGCCAGATTCTTTCGTTTCGTACAAAAACGCGTCGATTGAGCATATTTACATCGAGATTTGAGGTGAGGCCCCTAAACTAAATAATTACCAAAAGTTTTTAACTTTTTAACTTCATTTAACTTTTAACTATTTAACGCAATATGACAGCGTCGAGGGATATATATACCCGCGTCTTTTTGACGAAGATTAGTGTTGTAATATATTGGGGTGTACAGAGTAAGTCACGCAAGCTAATTGACGAACTACAATAGTATATTTTATTCCTCTCGTACAAAAACGGTTAATTCGTCAGAACGAAAAAATACGTAATGAAACAAGCGCTCTCTCGTTACGCGCGGCGCGCGTGGTAAAGAAGAAAAACGGAAACGGTAATAGCGAAAAACATCTTGAAAAGATACGCATGACAAACGGGCGCGTTTCAAAAACTAACTAAAGACTTCTATAATCTGTCATTGCTTTCCAACAATTAGATTCCGCCGTGAACCAGCAATCCGACCCGACCAATCATCCGCTGCTTCCGGACTCCGAAATCCTAAATCGAAGACGCCTGAGGTAAAGAGACGCTCTCTGGCTCAGTCGAGTGACGTATCTCGACGGCCGACTCGATCCTGACCAGTTTCTTATTAGCGCCGCGATTCAGTCTAGAGAATTGCTCTCTAGATTCGCCGAGAGTCTCGGCCGTCTGGTGCAGCTTCTTGGAGCTCGATAATACGTTATCCCGCCGTCCGGGAACTCCGAACCCGACGATTCGAACGCCCGAGGTCTGCGCCGACCGTCGTCGTATCGCGATACCGCCTCGGACGACTCCGCGCTCCCGCGCCGACCGTCGACATATCACCGCGCTATATTCTGCAACCCTGGCGAAAATGAGAAGTTTCATGAACGTTTGTTTGAGTGTTTACGGGAGTTCGTTAAGAGTTTAGAAACGGTCAGTAAAGATTTCGTAGAGCGGGAATTGCAACGCTGCAGCGTTTGAAAGACGTCTGTATATAGCGTTTTTAAGAGTTTGCACAGCATTTACATGACATATGACGTTTACTGAGAGTTTTTTAAAACATTTATAGATCCTCTGTTAAGCGTTTAATAATCGTTTGCTTTCATTATTGGAAACTGCGTGCAGCTTCTATTGAGCGTTTAACGGGCGTTCACTCTTGTCGTAGAAGAAACGGCGTAAAGAGCATTAAATGTTAAAATAATAGAGCGTTAAAGAAAGATAAATTACTCTCATCAAATTATATATAATTCAATAAAGAAAAAATGTATTTTTATTACTGAAAGATAATTTTTATCGATGATAATAAGATTTCGAAGCCAAATCTGCTTTTCACCTTGCAGGGGGTCTGCTTATATACGTGACTGGATGTATTTTAAATGCAAGAAAAATATGCCACCTAGCGGCGTTGTTGGAAGAGTGTTTGCTGAATGCAGGGAAAACGCTCGTGTTACAGCGTCGGGAAAAGCGTTTCTTAGGCGTTTCCAAGCTGTTTGCGTAAACGCCCTACAATTCGCCGTATTGAAAAAGTGTTTGCTGAACGGAAAGAAAACGCTTGTCTTACAACATTGAGAAAAGCATTTGCTAAACGTTTGAAGAGTCTGACAGCAAACTCTCTAAAAGTGAATCTACGTTTACTAAATATGCTCTGAAAAGCGTCTCAGCATTGCAGAACTTACACAAAACGTTATATATAGCGTTTGATAAACGTTTTAAAAACGTTCAAAACCTAACGGCGTTCTGTAAGCGTTTTTACAAGGTTTTAAAGCGAATAAACTCTTTAAAAAACCCTCATCGAACGACTGTCAACGCTTTATAAATCTTCTTATTTTTGCCAGGGAAGCCCGCGAGCCCGCCAATCATCGTTCACGTATCCTGCACCATTACGCGTTTACACGTTCGGCTGTACGCCGCATTGTATACAGGGTGATTCAGAACAACCCCGCGTC